ACACACACACACAGACGCAGATACATACACACATATACGTAGATATAATATTCTTCTCTCTCTCCCATTGGAATATAAAAGTCTCTAGTAGAAGAAGAAGAAGAAGAAGAAGAAGAAGAAATTGAAGTGGAGGAAGCTGTCTGTCTAAAAAACAAGACTCGACACGTGAACCCGAGCGAACAAGAAAAAGAACAAGAAATGGAGAAAGTCAAAGAGAAAGAAGAAGAAGGAAAGAAAGAGAAGGAAGAGGAAACGAAAGAAGAGGAAACTCAAATTGGAATGGAATGTCAAACGTGCGACGCCGATAAAAAGAGAGAAGAGTGAGGAGATCAAAAAAGAAAAAAAACCCCATCCAAAAAATAAGAAGAAAAAACAGAGAGAGAGAGAGAGAAAAAGGTAGAGTGTGTGTGAGGGGGGTTAGGGGGGAGGAGGTGGAAAAAGTCTCGACGGTTTTATCGAAGAAAGAATATTTTTCGTTCTTATTCGCGAAGGCACTCACCTATCGTATCCGAAAGAGTATTTCCATTCTCTTCGAGATATCGGAAGTATATAATATGTATGTGTGTACGTACATATGTACGTACAAGTAGATACGCATATGTATACGTGTATGGGTCGTACTTTGTCAATGCATATACGTGTATACATGTATATACACTTTTTCTTTATTTATTTATTTCTGTCTGTCTGTCCGTCCGTCTGTCTGTCTCTCTCTCTCTCTCTTTTTCTTTCTTTCTGTCAATTTTTCTCTCTTTCTTTTTCTATTCATTTTGTCGTTCCTTTTTTTGTTAAGGAAGAAAGAACGAACATCATGCTCGACTTGGTTCTTCTTTTAGCAAAAGACTACTTACTACTACTACTACTACTACTACTATTACTACTACTAGCTTTCTTTCAGATAAAAATACTTCTCCCCTTTTTTTCGGTGAATATATTGTAAGTCAAAAAATCTTCTTTTTCTTTTTTATTTTTTTCTTGAATGAAAAAAAGGTCCTGTATATACGTTGTATAGAATAATTATTATTATATTATTAAACGAAATATTTATAAAATTTTTTATTACATTATTAGTTAATATCCACCCCTTTTTTTTTCTATTATTAATTACATTAAATACATTTTTGACAATTTTTTTTCGGTCCTAAGAATATATTTATCGTAGAAGAATAATTTGGAAAACACGTTGTTCGGTTATATCTAAATAAACAATTGATTAAACAATTTCATTATTATTATTATTAATAGATTTTGTTTCTTTTAGTATTTAAATAAGAATGAAGTATCCAATCATTGTTTTCTAATCAAAGTGAGAAGACTAGATATCATCTTAATGGTTATCCAACGAACAATACCTAAACGATTCGAATCCACGCGATATCTAACTAACTAAGTATGCTTAGTTCGTTTAAATCGATTCTTAAACGAAAAAAGGGGCCGAAAATTTTCAATCTTCTATCTACGATATAAATCTTCGAGAGTAATTTTTCTAAATATAAAACGCATAGATATTTTTTAATTAGAAATAGATTAAAAAAAAAAAAATGACCGTAACAATCTAATAGGAAAATTACGACGACGAATCTCGTAAATAGAAAAAAAAAAAATCCCGTAATTCAACGTGACCAAAAAAATCTGTGGGAAAGATAATAGAAAAAATTGTATGTGTGAAAGGAGATAATTAAATGTAATTTAAAAAACCAAAAAAAAAAAGAAGAAGAAGACCGACCGAAGTACGCGTCGCCGATTATGACAATCGTCGTATTGAAGAACCATGGGTGGTATTTTCCATAATTATTAACGATTATCATCATGCTACCATTAAGTGAATATCACAACGAAAACTATTTTTACTCTTTCGATAAATTATTTCTGGGAACTTGCGTAGTCGACGTTGTCGTCCCTTGTGCTCTCGATGTACTTTTTTTTTTCTTTTATATACATATATGTTTTGTCGAACGTAATTAAAATTTTTGTACGACAAAAAAGGATATAAAACTCGAGTTACGTCGATAAAAATAGGAGGAAGGGTGGAGAGGAGGGCTTTGAAAAGGGGGAATTCAAACGGGAAATACATTTTTAAAAATTGATGTCTGACTCGAGTTTATAATTGAAGATGACCACATAGTATCAAGAATGTCATTACATATGAAGCAAACGAAAAAAAAAAGAAAGGTCACCGTTATCAGTGACTAATGCGTGTTTCTAAACGAAAGAGTTTATCGGATCCGACATATTTTGTGTGGTGGCATTCGTCGTCGTTTCTCGAATGTATGAACGTCAACGCTAGAAAAAGAAAGAAGAAGAAGAAGAAGAAGAAGAAAAAAATCTGTCGATAAATTCTTTCTATCTTTTTTTTTTTTTTTTTTTTTTTATATTAAAATGATCAATCCCTTTTTACGTTTCACTTTAAAACGTCACGCAAGCTTTTCAAACGTATGTTTTCTCTTCCTCCTCCTCCTCCTCCTCCTCCTCTTCTTCTTTGTTCTAATTTTATTTTTTTAAATCGCGAGAAAATATATTATTCGAATATATAAGAAATTAGATTAATCCGATTTATTAGGAATATACGTGGTAACAATATGTATTATATAATCTTTTTATTATTACATATTAATATAAAATAAATTTGACGTATTTAGGATCTTCTTATCCAACAAGGGACCACAACGAATTACAGCTGACCGTTGCAAATTAAACTTTTATCTTAACAACCCAGACACTCGTGATAATCGACCAGACGCTTATTATCAACGCCTACCCATCTTTTTTTCTATACGTTTTTATTATATATATATATATATTATTCCATTAATAATTATAATTTCCTACCGACATTGATTTATTTTTTGTTTTATTTAGAGTAAAAGATTAATTGAATACTTGCAATTGTATAACGATTGAAATCAAATATTAATGAAAAAGGAAGAATTGAAAAATTTGATAATTAAGATTGAAGTGAAAATATTATTAAGAAAAAAATAAAGATAATATTGTTGGATCGTAATCATACCTTTTCAAATAAAACTTGCACGATCACAATACCCTTCTGCATTTTCCAGTTGTATCCATTCTTCGACCATTTTTGCAAGGATTGACTGTCTCTAAAAGTGGTGCTTTTATTATCCTTGCATTTAAATTTTTAATATTTTCTCCTTGCACCATATTTAACGGTTCATTTATTTGTTGCGTAATGTCTGTATTGAAATCTCGTTCGAAATATAAAAATTTCGATTGATCGGTCGCAACAATTGTATTAAACGAGATAAACATGATGAAAATATATGCGAATCCGATAATAATTAATTTCCAATGCATCCTTCCTTTCTTTATTTATCTGAAACATTTCGCATTCGATTAAATAAGAATCTTTGTTTAAAACGTACTTATATTTCAGTCCACTTGGTTTTATTCGAATTTCACATTACTGGTTAACGTTAACATTTTTTGATAACCTTCTCAATAAAAATGAGACTTTAATTCCGGATCCGATTAATCAATCGTCTTATTTTATTTCTATTAATAAAATAATAAAGTAAGAAGCAAAAAAAAATAGCCAATTTAATCGTAATCGTGTTAATTATAAAAATATAATTAACGAAGAAGGGAATGAGTGACAACAGCGAAGACGATGAACCAAATTTTGTTAATTATTAATCGAAGAATTTTGAAATTTTCCACCGTGGATAATAATAATTGGTCGTATAAAAGCAATCGATTATTTGATTATTATTACGAAAGATAATTTTCTAAAGGCGTTGAATGTTGGAGTAAAACCTTTTGAGGTTTCCAGACTAAATCGTTTATCGGGGGCCTCCGGTATTATTACTCGATATCACGAACCGAGAAGCTAATTCGTTCTATTCGTTCGTCACACTGCGTTATTCTCTATCTGTTAGTTCGACGAATATATTCCACGCTTTTAATTACATCGAGTCAATGTTATATACGTAATAGCTGTTATTAAAACGGATGGAAAATTATTGCTGACTTTTATCTATCTATTTATTTTTGTTTCTTTCTTTTTCTATTCTTTTCTTTTTTTTTTTTTTTCACTTATCGTAATATTAATAATATAAAAATCTAAACTCGTGTTTTTTCTTATTTATACGAAATATCACACATGGCACTATAATAATAATAATATTTTGAAGAAACGGTGAAAAAAAAAGAAAAATAAATATAAAAAACATACATTCTATCGCTGATATTTTTTATCAATTTTTTGTTTTTTTTTTTATTCATTTACATAAACTTAGAAATAAATCTAAATGCGATAGTCGTGACGTAAGTAAGTAAATTAAAAAACAAACATATGATTTCTTATTAAATGTCTTATACGAATATAATATATATTCAAATTTATATTCACCGAGATGATTTCAAACGTATGTGTTCTTTATGGAAAAAAAAAARAAAAAAAAAAAAAAAARAAAAAAAATGATAAAAAGGGGAACACGCAAGGAAAAAATAATAATATTTTGAATAAACATTTAAAAAAAGAAAAAGAAGCGTTCTCTATATCAATGACATTTCTTATCAATTTAATTGCAAATCAGAGAAATGTCGAGTGCGATCAAAAACCCTGACTCACGCAAAATCGAAATAAAATTATTAAAAGGACAACAAATAACAAAATAAAAATGAAATAGATTTTACATAGTCATATCTTTTCGTGATATTTCTCTTATCGTTTATTATAATTCGAAACTAAAAATTGTAACAAACACGAAGTCCAAATAAACTTCAAAGTATTAACGCGCAAATCGAAATATATTTTATAAACGTGCACATACAAATATATAATATGACAAGAAATATATAATTATATACTAAAAATAAATGAATGAAATTTTCTTTGAAAGTAGACAATTGGATGAAGACAAATTTGAAGAGACAAATCTTTTCCGAAGGAATAATCTTATCGTGATTCCCGATGCTCCCAGTTTTCCCTTGGATGGGAGATAGCTAACGGATTTATCGTTAAACGAGAACACGTTTCCATCGTCATTCGAATTACCATCACGTTTCGTCGTTGATGTATTCAACAATATGTCGCGGATATCGTTGCGCGTGCTTCCGCTACCCTAATACTCAAAATGACTCCGAATTAGAATGAGAGAAAATTATGCGTTGTGCAAACAATTGCTGAAAAATTTCTCATTCGGTTTGACTTCGACTAATGCAACCTAGTTGACTCATTTTAATCTAATCGGATAATAATAATATGTTTTATTGTTAATAATATATGTTAAAACATTGTCGAATGAAACTCGAATGAAAAAGTAACAATTTTTGGCTTACACACCCCTCCCCACCCCTCTCCGCACCCCATAGGCTTGCAGAAATTTCAACTAATTCTGACGCTAAATAAATTCGATGAATTTCGAGCTTAATTTTAATCTAATCGAACGATACGTCACCATTTTCGAGAAAATCTATTGCAACTTTTGTTTGATTCTCATCAAAATTTAACAAACTTTCAATTGAAGTTTATGGTATCTTTCGGTTCGTTAGTATTTTTGTATTTTCGTGCGATATTTATTTGATTAATTAAATCGTCGTTCTTTTAATCGCATCAATACTGCAAAGATCGTACGAATAATTTATTCATTATATTTTTATATATACGAAATGTGTTAGAAATAATTAATAAAGTGTTAGCGTTAACGCGTATGAGATTTAAACTATCAAAAGATAGTTTACAAGATTTAAATTATCAAAATATTAGAAATATTTTTTCTTATATGTTTTTACGTACGTAATCTGTCATACAACTATTTTCGTTTCGATTCGTGATAAATAAAGTCAAAGAAAATTGTAAACGTAGTAAAAATTCATTGAATACGTAAAAAGGGTTATTGAATGAAGCGTGCAGTGCTGCCATCTAGTCAAAGTTGAACAAACGAAACTTGCATCCCGACGCATGATAAAAACGATGCTCAACTATGATCAATCAAATCTACAAATTTTATTTCAAGGAAAATCCCTTTCGTTAGTTTTGAAACAATTTAATATCACCAACTAACAGTACGTTACAAATTTTTCCAATAACGTTGAATATTATTCCATGGTCGATAAATATTTAACAGGGTAATCCTAATCCTAGTGATTTCTCATAGGAGCAGGAAACAGAAGGAACTAGATGACGAGAATCAAGGAAGAAATTTCTGTACGGTCGGTGATGATGTTTCTGTGATGTATTTACAAAATTCTATTAATATTAAAAATCAATATTTAATATTCGTTTCCCTTAAACGTTGAATTTATTTTTATTATGAAACTGGAACGATTGATTTCTACAAAAATTCGATAAATTCTAATTTTCGTTTTGTATATTACATTAAAATATGATGAAGATGTGTTGATGATGATCTAGATGATATTTAAACAAAAATAATTAATTATATTGATAATGAAACGAGATGAAAATCAATATGATCAAAGTGAAATTTATTATTATTAATTTTTCGAAAAAACTGATCAATCAAATATTTAAATTAGATTATCTATTGTTATTTTATATATTAGGATTTATATTTTATAATTTTTAAAAATATGTAAAAACACAAAAATAAATCAATCTTATTAATCAATTAGAAATAATAAAGCTAAAACAAAAATACAAACGCATAATCAAATAACAAAACAATTATTTTTATATACGATCATAAGACACGTAAATACTCTACCTAATAATCTAAAAAGAGAAAAAAAAACGTGTTAAAGAAACCACAGTCAATTAAAGAAAAAAGATAATTAAATATTTAAAATACCTTTTATACTTTTTCTTCGTGCGTCATCGTGAGACACGTAAAAGATACACTCGCGAACAGGCGATTAAAAAGAAAATAGAAAAAAAAAGAAAAAAGAAAAACACGTATTAAAAAAAGAACGAATTAAATTAAAGACGAATACGACGACACGATCTTACTCGTAGGAAGAACATTTAAAGATTAAAGTGTTGTTTCCCTAACGTTCGTCCTAATCTGTTATTATTCAACAATTTAACACGTACGTTAAGTGTTTACAATTTTGCAAAACTCCGGGCCGCTTAGCGATCAGAAAAAAAAAAAGAACAAAAATGATAAAAATAAAACTTACGGAGTATCCGTATGATCCGTTGATTTCATTGGTTCGTGTATTATTCAAATATAAATAAAATATATAAAACTATATACTTTATACGCTCTATTTCTTCGATCGATTATATACCATTTATCTAATTTACATTTAAAAATCCTTTCCTATTTATTTACCTGCCTATATATTTTTCCTCCCTTCTCTATCTCTCTCTCTCTGTCTCCCTTTTTTACGCAATTTTTATTTTCTAAAAAATAGATGAAGAAATTGTTGAATCTTTCTCACGATCATCTTCCTCACGCTCGCTCTAGAAAAGCATTAACTGCAGATGATTAAGATAAAGTCATTTTGTTCCTATTCGTTTTCCAGTTTCTTCCTAGCTCGGTTAGCTTTTCGTGCACGAGAATGCAAAACTGCAACGGTTCAAAAAAAAAAAAAGAAAAAAAGATATAAAGGAAACAAAACAAAATACATATATACAGTAGATGGATAATTATTCTTTATTGCTACCTTCGATTGAAAGAATAACTTCTGTTCCCTTATTTTCTCCCTTTTCTTATTCCATTTTAAAAGATAAATAATATCTTCTATCTTCTCTCTCTCTGTTTTTTTTTATTTCATGTTTTAATTCTCTTTTTTCTTGTTTTCAAAATCCTTTGATCTTATCTTTGAAATACGGTATTTTTCCGTGTGGACATTATAGTGGCAAGTGAAACGATCGATAATCGACTGAAAAAACAATTTACATACCTTCGAGATGAAACACGGCACTGTATTACGACTGATATATAAAATGAATATTTTGTAATTATTGTAATTTATGTTAATATTTTGATAATCGATATCGAAGATACGATTTTCTTTGACGTTTCATAATTTTGTTCATTCTTTTTTTTCTTTTCTTTCTTTCTTTCTTTCTTTTCTAGACGATTAAATATTGATTTCGATTGAAATAATTAAATACTTTGTGAAATAAATCGATCATTTTTATAATGATTGTTTTAAAGAAATAAGATAAATCGATTGGTCACGAAGATTAAGATCATTCGTTTTGAAGTTAACGAGATGAAGCTAATACGATAACGTCGAGAATGGACACACGATATACATTTATACCCTTTTTTCGAAAGTTTAACCAATTTCCTCGCAAATGATACCTTTCGTGCAACTCATTTTTCTTCGTGTGTGTCTCTCTCGATTAGGTATTTATATATATATGTATTATTACAAGTTGGATCAACGAGAAGGATTGTTTTCTTTTTTTCATTAATACGAGTAGATATAAAATCATATATCATTAATTATAAATAATTCAATATTACCAGATAATAATCTATCGATCAAAGATAAACCAAAAAACAAAATAAACTAAACACGAAGAGATTAGAAAATTAATAAATCATATATTTTAATTCGAATTTATAACAGAAAATAATGTATTGATCATTTACGAAAATCATAAATTATAACTTATTCTAAAAAAATAAAATCAATAATAACATTTCGATACAAAATTGAAACTTAACATCCATATCACACATCGTATAAGTGTAAGTAAGAACAGAAAGGGGGTACAAACAAATTGCAAGAGATTAAAGATTAGAAAACAATATWTAAAAATTATACAAATTAAAAGTAATAAATAATAGATAGTATTAATCACACACACATTTTCGAAAATCATAAATTATATAATAACTTATTCAAAAAAATAAAATCAATAATAACATTTCGATACAAAATTGAAACTTAACATCCATATCACACATCGTATAAGTGTAAGTAAGAACAGAAAGGGGGTACAAACAAATTGCRAGAGRTTAAAGATTAGAAAACAATATWTAAAA